GTTAACCTTCCTCTTTGAACTGAGTTGGAGTACAGGCTCTTCAAATGATAAAATCCAAAGTTGTAATTGAAAAAGAAGTGGTCTCTGTCAACTAACTAACAGAGGTGGTTGTGTGAGTGCTCGGCTGAGTGGTGATTTGCCACATCACGTTGCATGAGCTACTGCTTTCCTATAGTGATGATAGATTTAATAAGATCCAGTGAACCATTTCTGAGGAATGTTTTAACTGAAGTTTATCTACCTGTTGGCATAGCAGAGACTGTGCTACTGTGTTTACAGACGCTGGTATTCACCAAACCTGAAGGTTGTTCAGCTCTGCTTTCAGGAGATAACATTCAGGTGCTCAGGCTGCATATCTGAAGCTGGTTGCAGAAAATGTATCAGTTCATTAGACCAGGCGCTTACCTGCAAAAACACCTGTAATTCAGACTAAGTAACTGCATCTAGAGCACTGATAAACTGTTAAGTCCTGGGCTGATGATGACCATGGGTTAGGAGCAGTTTTATAACACAGCAAAACAGCAGGAACTCTTCAGGCATTCAGGGCCATCTTCCTCAAATCAGGGAAGTATTTCAACCTGACTAAGATGTGATGGGTGTGCTTATCAATCAGGTTGAGGCCATTCTCAAAACTAGACTGGACAACTGCATGTGTTGTTCACACAAAGGCTGAGTGTGAGGCTATTTGAGGTTTGGTAACGAGAAAGAGCCCAAGTACGTTGATGCTTAACCTCCAGCCACAGCCTTGTTCTATCTGTAATGTTTCCACTCTCTTAAGAAGTAATATTGGTGTTTTATTCATAGAAAGGCAGAAAGAAATACAAAGCCCAAACCCAAGACGAACTATGTTGCCCCATATTGGGATGTTAACTTGATTAAGCTAATCTGTTTTCAGCTGATGGTTTAAGCTTCAGGCTTGGAAAAGCAGTAGCATTTACATGTTTGAACACAAGAGGAGCATATTAAAAAGCCTTATCAAAATTCCACATTAATAAAACAAGCTATCAGTGCATCAGAGCACTGATGAGCTTCCCTCTGCAAGCATGCAAGCATCGTAATAGATGCTTTGTAAGGTCTTTAATCCTCAGTAGCTACTGTTGGAAAAATTCAGACTTTCCCCTAGAACAGGAAATTAAATCTCAAAAATAATACATCTATTGTATTCTGTCCAGTTTGACTATTCAGTATCTCATACATTATATTTATTTTGAAAAGCAGCTTTTTCCTATGGTTTCGCTACAGATGCAATGTGTAAGGAGATTTCACGACTTAAAACTTAACTTGTGTTCCATTCATCTTCTCTTTGATCCTGTAAGTAGGCAGCAGATAATTGTTGGGGGTTTTTTTTGTTCGTTTGGGTTTTTTTCATTCTTTTATTTCCATTAGAAAACATGATAAGACTGACTGGTGCAGTAGTTTTATTCCCACAATTTTCAAGAGAGATAAAGAAGGCAATGCCTGTAGTAGTGAGATGCTAGAAAGGGCAAAACAAACGACCCAAGTTCAAACTTGCATTTATTACTTCCTGGGAAACATCATTCTCTGTTATAATTAGAAAATAACAAGAGCAACAAAACATATTTTCCTAGAGTTTGGTTTTTTTTTTTTTTCCTTCTTGGGGAGATGGAAACTTAACAGCTGAAATGTTGTTCTATGTCCCACAAAATGGGTTAAAGCAGTTTAGGTAAAGAACTCTCTACAGCTGAATTGTGCAGGGATCAATGTTCCTCTTGCTTCCTTTTGAGTACATTTACGATTCCTCCTGTGAGATGTCTCTTAGGTGACAAGCCTGACATCCAGCTTTCTCCTCTTCAGCAAAGGAATCATCCCCACAACCAAGGTGTCACAGAGCCTCAAGAGCTAAGAGGAAAACATACCTGGGTTAGGTAAACGCCAGGGGAAGAGGCTCTGCACATAACCATGAACTATGTAAGGGAATTCCACTGTCCATTTTTCACACTGGCACATTGTCCTTTACTTTCAAGTACAGCAGTGAAAAATGAAGACAATCCCTGGAGTACATTCTCTACTGGAATTCTAGTCTCCTTGTATCCCCAAGAGCTGGTGACACAAGTATTTTGTACCCTCTCTCTGCTTTCAAATTATTCTACTTCTCATGCAGAGACTGGCTTTTGACATCAAAAGCATTTAGCAAATTAGAGTGTAGCTCCCTGAATCTAATTCTGCCATCATAATTCATATGGGTACCTAGAGTCTCTTGGACAAAAAGACCAAAGATAACTAAATCTACAAAGGCAGCTCTGGTACAAGTTCTTCCACTGGGCCAGGTCTTAGCTTTGCTTAAAGCTTCCCTGTAGCAACCCGAGGCATTTACATTTACAAATAGGTAATATCTTCAAATAATCTTTGACAGGTAAATGTAATCAAATGGGAGAGAGGCAGAAAAAAGAAGGCTTTTACATGGAAATGTTACTGGAAATGAGCTGATGAGATACAGTTGAGTTTCTTGTCTTAAACAGAAAAAAAAATTGAGGGTAGTTCGTGATGCAAAGCCAGAGATAAGTACATATTATTTTCAGTGGAAGCTTTTGCTTTGCTTAGTGGTTGATAACCATTTGAAGGCACTCTTCAGTTCACCTTTCTTCCCCATTGCCTCCTTTGGGCACTAGAGGGACCCTGAAGTTTTCCACACCACGGAAACAACTCAGCGATGCCGAGGCAGGAGCGCTGCCTTTCCTGGTCACCTTAGCCTAGGTTTTTCCAAGGGGAAAGGTGGGAAAAATCTGCTCAACCAGTTGTTGAACATACCCACAGACTGCTAACATGGCAGTGGGAAAAGTGTGCAAAGGGGCTGTAGCCATACTTTGCTTTGTTTCATCATGCACACTGGTGCTTGCAGCTCTTCCCATCATCAATAAATAAGAGCTGACTTTGCCTTGACTGCTCTGTTTGCTCAGCTAATGTTGTGACATTGGCACCAAGGCTTGAGTCACTGCGTTTTTGAGAAATTAAATGTTTCCTTCCCCAGCCTGAAGTGATGCCAAATACCTAAGCAGCCACTGCTGCAGCTCAATAAACTGTTAGAGAAGTGGCAGATTGCTACTCTAACTATATAGAAAGAGAATATGTATTGACACAAATCCCTTTTAAAACAATATTTTCCAGACACAGTTTCAAATGAATCTGTTCTAAAGAGGGCTATAGGCAATGTCATTCCTTTTTCTTTTAGCAGACAGGCAAAAAATCCTCTGCATTTGACTTACTCGACCTCCATATAGAGATCCATAATTCAGCATGTCAAAGCTTTACTATAAAGCTCATGGTTTATGAGGTGATGTAAAAATCTATTTTTCCTTGGTACAAAAAATCTTTCCCCACTATCTCTTAGTGGGATGATGCTTTTTGATCTCTGCATGAATATTTCTAATAAAAATACATGCATGCATTTTAACATCTCTAACATGAATTAAAAGAATTCTTCCTGTCTTAAAAACGTCTAGTGTCAACACTGTTGTTGAATATTTAATGTGAAGTATAACGTAATTTAACTAGATAATTATCTCAGGGGAAATGGTGACTGCCACATTGTTTTTTCCTGTGTTTATTTTTCATCATCTTTGATGATTGTTTAAAGTAGAGATGGAACTGAATGACTAACTTCCAAGACTCGCCTTCTCTCTCTCTCTCTCTCTCTCTGCAGACTGCTGCTGAACAGACAGGCTGCTGCCGTACTGCATCTGAGCCAGAGGCATTGATTCCTCCATGGCATATGGAATATTCTGAACATTTCTCCAGTTAGTGATCTCGAGGAATCTACATGGACAGTGCACAGTCTATTTATTGTACAGGTGTCTTTCCATTAAGACAACTCTTCATCTCTTCCGTGATACCCATCACAGTATTTGTTTCCAACAAAAGTATAAGCTGTCTGTCGTTTCCCCCATTCCTTTTTTTTTTTTCCTTAATATCATAAGATTTGAATAAATCTAACTTCCATTTGGATGAAGTGTAACTTCTTGATCAACTCAACTGCTCACTCCCTCTCAGGGCTCCTTCTGATTAGGCTTTATGTAAGCCTGCATTCACATTATCTACATGGTGAGAGGAAGGGCTTGCAGGGAGAGATCCATCAAGGTCCTTCCATGGACACATAGGCCTCCAAGGGGAGGCACAAACAGAAAACAGCAAGGAGAAGGCACTGCTGATCCTCAGGGTGCTGGGGACACTGGTGCACGTTCCTTATGCCCTGAACCACTGTCTTTCCTCCTGACAGCCCGAGAGAAAGACTGGCTGCAGCAAATCCATTTCCTCTGACAGCATCTCCTCCAGATGGATGTACATCACCAGTGGTGAGTAACCAGAGGGGAACATGATGGCTTTGTCCTCTTGGCAAGATCCTGCTCCCTTTGCACACCACTGATTTACAGGTGAAATGCAAGAAAAGAGCAGTGGTAGGAAGTTCTCTCAAGGAGCTTGAGAAGGTCTCAGGAAAGCGACTGGAAGAAATGTCTGTAGCCTTGGCTCACAGCCTCAGACCTTATAACGAAAATTTCCTGATTTACAAATACATAAAAATACTTAAAATAATTTGGCATTCCCTGGTCACTTCATTAACGTCGACATGCCATTAATGCGGAATATAATCCAATGTAGTAGTTGTTGAGGGATGGCCATCTCTGTATGAAGAAACAGAAGCAAGGGTGAGATCTTGGCTATCCTGGATCTGTTTTGACCAGTCAAACACTTGTGGCCCAAATATAAAGAAAAATAGCAATATTTGTCTTTACTGGATCCCCTTTGTTTCAAAACATTTTTTTAGGTTAATACAGGCATGAGATACTTGGAATTGCTGGTTAAGATTCTGATAGACTGGCTTTTTGAACATGCATTTTAAACAAACCCAACAGACTAATTTGTTTAGGAAATAGAAGAAGTAAGAAAGCACCATTTTACTCTTTCATCTCCAGCACAGGGAACTGAAACGATGTGGTACTGGCTAGAAGAGGTGAGATGAGCCAATGCTGTAGCCCCATCATATCAGTGGCGTTGCAGGAGGGATGACTTTGGAATACAGAAACTGTAATTGATGTTCTGAGGGGCTGAGGAAGAAAGTTCATTCGAGAATCTGGTAAGTGACAAAGTAATAGGATATCTTTTATTGCCGGGTTCCAGGAAATGGCTGGATAGCCCAGCCTTACAAGACCAGCGTGTAAGTAAGCAGCAGCGCAGTGTCTGAGGTGCCATAAACCCCTTTTTTTCCCCGGTCTCACCATTATTCGCTCTCTTTCTCCAGAGAAAAAGGAGGAATTAGACTGAGCTGGGACTTGCAGCGTTGGAAGACCCAAATGAAACCAGGTAAGGGGCTTTCGGGCTGGTTTTCTACCGGGGGCAGGGCAGGGCGCGGGCTGAGCGTCCCGGAGCCTGGGTGTCTCCGCAATGCAGGGGCCGGGGCGGGGCGGCGGCGAGGGGCCGCTCCCCCTCCACCGCCCCCGCCGGCGCGGGGGCCCTGCGGGCGCGGCGGGGCCGGGGCGGGGCCGCGGCAGCGGGGCGGTGCCGGGGGCGCGCGGCGCGCAGGCGGCCGCGTCCCGCGACAGCCCGGGAGCTGCGGGGCGGGTCGGGCTGAGCCGGGCACGGCACGGCACGGCACGGCACGGCACGGCACGGCACGGCACGGCACGGCACGGCACTGCGCGGGCGGCGGCGCGTCCTCTCTGTGCCCGTGGGTGCCGGCGGCCGCCGCGGCGCTCAGGTAAGGAGCGAGCCGAGCCCCGCCGGGGGAGGGAGGACGGGCGGGCGGGGCAGGGGCGCGGGCAGGGGGGGCGCGGGGCCGCGCGCGCCTCCCGCCTCGTGGCCGTCGCGAGCCTTGCTCGGGGGCTCGCGCCGCCCGGGCCCCGCGCGCGCCCCCCCTCCCTCCCTCCTTCCCTCAGCCCTTCGGCCCCTCAGCCCCCTCTGCGGTCCCGCGCAGGAGTTCGCCGCGGGTCGCCCCCGCCCGACCTGCCCGAGGTGATGGGAGGGGTAAAAGCCCCCGGTAACGCCCGTTTCACCTTCGTGGGGGCTGCTGCCCCCGAGGGCTCTGAGCATCTCCAGACTGTAAAAGCCCTTCGGAGGATGTGATTCTCTGTCTTCTCCTGCCCCCACCCCTAAGCTCCTCTAAGGGGATCTGCGCGGCTGAACAAAGAGCGTTGTGTGAGGCGAGGGGGTGCGAGGGCTCCAAGCGCTGTTAATTTGCATCGGGGAGGGGGGGGGGGAAAAACCGACCCTGAAAGAAAAAAAAGATTCCCTGTGTTGAACGCATCGGCCGCAGGTCCGGCGAGGGAGCAGCCGCGCACGGGAGGCCGGCGGCGAACAAAGCCTTTTTATGTAAGAAAATGATGTAAACCGTGCCCCGCTGCAGGTAGGAGCCGCGAGTATGTGCCGACCCTGCTCGGTGTGCCCAGCACGCCGTGTGAGGCGTGCTGCGACCTGCCCCTCGGATAGGATGTGCTGTATGGAGCACCTTCGGGAAAGAAGGGGGTGTGCCGCGCGTCGGGAGAGTTGCTCTCCCTCTGTAAGATACCGGCATGGTTAATTTCCCCGTGCAGGAATTTTCAGTTCTCCTCCGAATAAAGATATTCTTTTGTTTTGCTGGTGGGTTTTCATGTAGGATTCTTTCTGAGACGAAGTAGGTGGCTTTCACATGTAAGTGAGCATTAACATAGAGTCATGCAGTAGAGTAGGGTGTATACATCCATATGTTGTAAGTCTTACTTATTCTAGGTCTCCAGCATCCCTTTTCATAATCTGTCATGTCTTTGTGGTTGATACCAATAAATCATGCTCCATCCTTTCTCAAAAAATGCCTTGCTGTCCAGCATTTGGGCTGCTTGTGGTTTGGGAAACCTGTCCCTTTTGTTTTCTGAAGCATTCTTCCTTGCAGGATTGAAGCACGTATCCTTTCTGTTCTGGTTCTTCCCATTTGCTCCACAAACCTTTGCTTTCTCTCCGTGAAAGAATCTGTTTCTTTTCACCTGTGCTGGTTTAGACTTGCAGGGATGTCTAGACTGCAGATCTTGTAGCCAATGCACCCAAGAAGAGGTTCAGCTGCAGACTGTATTTATTTTCTATAGCTCCTCTTTCTTCCCTCCTGACTGGATGACGTGATCACAGCATCTCAGCCCTTGCCTGAGAAGAGAATGTGCTGAGAGGGCATGGCCTAGTGAAGTTACCCCTGCCATTACTTCATAGATCACTAAGAATGAGAGAATGGGCACCTTCCCTGAGTGTGCTAAAAACTCTCTTCAGTTAGAGATAGTCCAGTTAAGTTTGTGGATGGGTGTTCATTTCTGCTGCTGATGTTCTGAAAGTGTGATATGTACTCGCCCCTGTAGCACCTCGGTCTGGGAACCACCGAATTCCTCGCTGAGTATTTCATTTTGCCCCTTTGCAAAGCACTGATGCTGCACTCAGCAGTGAGCAAGACCCCCGTCTTAATGTGGTACCAGTCTCCTGGAGCTCGGGCATTTGCAGATGAGCTAAAGTAACACATTGAAAATAATCTCCATGGCTTAGTGAGACCATTTAGCATGGAAATGAGACACGCAGGTGAGCCCTGGCTCTGCGGGGAGGGGTGATCTCAGCAGTGGAGCATGGTGCCCTAAGTTCTCTCTCCTCATTTTTTCTTATCTCATCAAGGGTCAGGATTTGGTTAATGAAACTTTCAGTTTGTTGCACCTATATTGTGCATTGCCTGTGGGTGTTTGAGAGAGGCCAAAGTGCTGTCATCCTGAGAATAAAAAGTTGCTGTTCTTCTGTGGAGAGTTTTAGCACACCGGAGGGCAGTTCATTGTGCTTATAATGCAGATTGTTATATAAAGCGGCATTTGCACCCTTGATTTAGAGATCTGATGTAATTGTTACGGTGTGTTATGTCATACCCACTTAGCTGTTGCCTTTAATATGTTGGGGCAATACAGAAATTGTTGTAATTGTTGTAATTGAATGACCCCTGAGGTGCTGCACCTAGGCACAAGTGATCTGATCCCAGCAGTCCCTAAATGAATTGCTGCAGTCTGTGGGTTAAGAATTCCCTTCTTGCTGGATGTTTTTCCAGAAGCGTACCTTTCCTTTCAGCCTGTGTCATGTTACCACATACTATACCATAAATTCCTCTGGATTCACAGAGGAAACATTTGCTGTATGTGCTGACACCAGTGGGCTCTGGTCCATCTAGCACTGGCACTGTGCTTACTTAAGAGCTGCTTGAGCTGTAGAAGTTGCTAGAAATACCGAAACACAGAAATGGGGGGGGGGGTTGAAGGGGGTGGCCTATTGCAGACTCTGCTGGGCTGTTTCAGATATCACCCCCCAGTGTGGCACGTCATACACGTGTTGGAGATAGGTTTGTTTTCTTAAAGTGGTTGGAAGAGGAAGAAGTCAAAAAGAATTTGGGATGTGAGGACTTTACAATGATGGCTTTCAGAAAGTCACCTCTTGATTACAAACATTTCTGCAAAGTCGCAAGATACTGACAGAGCTTGAAATGCAGCTGCAGGATCTGTGAGATCTGAAATCTGATCTGCCGTGGCGGACAAATTACAATTAGCTTAAGAAAGGAAAAAAAAAGCTCCGATAGTAGTATTTTTCTATAAATTGTGGGTCAGTCCAAAGGCCCGAGTTCCTTACAGAACTTTTGCTTATAGACCAGGCAGTGGCTATGCTGAGACCTGATCTGGTAAAACCTCTGGCTCACAGCCAAAGAACAAAAAAACACCCCTTGGCTTTATTGGTGTTCCCAAAGAGGAATTCCTGCCTGCAGGACACTTGTAGCTGAACTGAAGCCTTACCTAGGAAGGGATCAGGGAGTGTTGCAGTTAACAGGCACATTAATAATGGCCAGAAATTTGGAAGGGTGTAATAGGGCTCCTAGGCGACCTTACAAGGTCGTTTCTGAACTGAATTATCTGACCTGGTGGTCACCTGGATATTTTGTTTCTGTGCTACCTTAAAGCCAATATGCGTATTTGATGAATGCATGTGCTGATATATAGAATTGTTCCTAACACTCAAGGATGCTTGTTTTGTTCCATCTGGATTTATTCAGTTGTTCAAACATATGCTTAATTGCCCTTGAAAGTCAGCCTTAAGCACGTTTAAAAGTCAAGCATGTTTTTACCGAAAAGGGAATGTTTTGCTGGAAAGAGAAAGAGAGGGTATGTGGGCTCAGTGGTGGAAAACCCTTGATGATATTTAGTGATGCCAAATACTTCTAGACTAAGCATGGAAATGAACAACGTTCTGTGAAATCATACTGTGGCTTTTCCCTCCCCAAACACACATGCACATGCTAAGGCACAAGAAGGGTGGGTCTTGACATCTTTGGCATCCTTAGGGCAGGTGCTTTTTCTTCTATTCTTTTGCTTCATATACAAGTGTGCTTGTTAGCAGCAGTTCTGTACTGCATCTCAGCTAATAAGAAAAAAAACCAGCATGAGACTGATTTCCATAGGGTGGAGCTGATTTAGAGGATTGGTGGTGGAAAACAGAGGTGGTTTAAGCCATCTGCTTCAGTAGAGGAAAAAGCTTTTATTTCATGGATAGGCTTAATCACAGGTTATGCTACTAAACTATATGAGAGTGTTCTAGAAAGAGATTCAGTGTGACACTTGTAATTGCTTTCTAGGTATTGGAGGAAAGAACTGAGGTATCCATGGGGTTAATTTGGATTTCTGTGGCCACATGGGTTACTGTACTAGCTGTTAAGAAGATTTGAGGTCTTGATTGACCCATTTTACTTTAACACTAATTGTTTGCTGTTGTATTAAGGAGAAAAGATGAGCTAATGCCGTTGCTCCTTTGCTCCTTATGGTTTTACACTCATAGCTGTTTTTCCCTGCAGCAGGCTTGCAGATGAGACTGATCTTTGTTCTTTTGTCTTGACTGAGGAGCTGACGGGAGTGATAAGGAGACAACAGCTCCAGAGTGTCGGTGTTTATACTCAGTATTCTGCATCTTGGTTAAAGTGCCAGTTTGAAAGGAATTACTGTGAAAAGGTGTGGCTTGGGCAACCTCAACAATATAAAAATTTACTGAATCTCTTTGTTTTCTGTAATCTGTAAGATAGTGCTAGTTTATAGGCTTGACCAATGTTATGATATACTGTTTATCTTTTAGTGTTACTTAAATGTGTTGTTTTTCTAACTTTCTGTGGTGTAATGAGTGTTTGTTTATTTTATCCATCTTCTGGATAAAATATGTATGTATCTTTATGTCCATATGGTACAAGGGTGACAATGGCCCATTACGACCAGCAGTGTTAAGTGGAGAAAATCAGTATAACTATGTTGAATTCCTTGAATCTGCACCTGACTGGCACCATC